GTCCCTGTGAACATGCACCCAGGGCAGGCCACGTTCCCTGTCCGGGGGAGGACATGGTGGGTGGGGGAGTCTGTCCCGGCAGTGCAGCCCCCCCCCTCATGGCAGCCCGGTATCCACATAGGCGGTGACAGGGTGCGAGGACTGCCTGGCAGCGTTGCTGGACCATGACGCCTTTGTACTGTGCCGGGACTTCAAGGGGCGTACGCCCCTGCACTTGGCCTCGGCCTGCGGCCACCCCGATGTGCTGCGCACCCTGCTGCAGGCCGCGCTCTCTACTGACCCACTGGACTCTGTGGTGGACTACAGTGGCTACTCCCCCATGCACTGGGCTTCATACAGCGGTGAGGACCCCCTGTCCCTGCCATCTGCCTTGCCCCAAGCCTGGCAGCTTTGGCTGAGACCCCGGGTGCTGTGGAGTGCCCCCCCAGTTAGTCAGGATTGAGCGGGGCTGTGTCTGCCTGTGCCCTGCACACTGGGCCATAGCACGGCATCCCCTGCATGCGTGGCTCCCCTGGGGGTCATGGGGTTGCAGAGGGAATCCCACCAGGGCTGGTGTAGTCCCAGCCTGTGAGCCCTGACCTGCTTCTCCGGCGTCTCTACAGGGCACGAAGATTGTCTGGAACTGTTACTTGAACACAACCCGTTTGCGTACCTGGAAGGAAACCCCTTCACTCCATTGCACTGTGCAGTGTAAGTTGGCGCCACTGGGGCCAGCCGGGTGGGTTCAGGGTCTCCTGGCGCATGCCCTGCCCTCCAGTGCTCCCATTTCACTGCGGGCTGGTGGAGGGGGCCGCAGAGCCGCACAGCCTGTGCTGCATCCCCTGGCGGGAGCCATCTCCCGGGTACAGGGCTGCGATTGCCCTCACCAGGAGGCCAGGCCCAAGCCAGGCCTTGTGGAGCTGGGGGATGAAGTCACGGGGCTGGTCTCCGTCACTGCAGGCATCTCATCCTGCTGTGTTGCTTTGGGAGAGGGGTGGGGGCGACCGACATGGAGCGGGTGGGCTCCTTGCTGCTCCCCCAACACCTTCCCACAGGGCCCTGGCACCAAGCAGCCTCAGCCCCAATCAGCTCTGCCCCTCGGCCTTGTCCCCACTGCAGAATTAACAACCAGGATGGCACTGCTGAGATGCTGGTGGAAGCATTGGGTGCCAAGATTGTTAATAGCAGAGATGCCAAAGGAAGGTGAGTGCAGCCCCACTTCTCCCTGTGATGTGCCAGCTACCCAGGCCTGGCAGGGGACATGCCACCTGATGCCCGCCTGTCTCCCCACAGGACCCCCCTTCACGCTGCTGCCTTCGCAGACAACATCCACGGTTTACAGCTGCTGTTGCGCCACCAGGCTGAGGTGGACGCAGCTGACCAGCTGGGGAGGACGCCCCTCATGATGGCTGCTGAGAACGGGCACACTGCAGCTGTAGGTGTGTGAGGCCGCCTGCCCGCTCTGGGCACCATGCTGGTCGTGTGAGCTTCTGAGCATTTACTCTGCTGGGGCAGGGGAGGTCAGGCCTGGCAAGGGGCCGTGGCCCACCCATATGGCTGGAGCCCGTGCTGGGTCCCCAGCCTGTTCCCCCAGCCCCTGCTGCACATCGTCGGCTGTCCCAAGCCCGTCGGTGGTGGGTGTGGGGTCCTGATGGCACCTGTCTCTCGGTTGCAGAGTTCTTGCTGTACAGAGCGAAAGCAGATATCACCGTGCTGGACGTCAACAGGAACACGGCTCTTCACCTGGCCTGCAGTAAGGTACGGCATGTTTCTGGCCTTGGGCATGTGGCCCTGCCCCCATGGCTTCCCAGACGTACGGAGGACATGGACTGCCATCTCTGGCCCTGTGACTGCTTGATGGGATTGACCTGGCACAATGGGATGGTGGCTAGGGCCCCAGGGCAAGTGAGCTTGAACCCGGCAGAACGCAGCCTCGGCTGCTCCTCGGCCTGGGTGCTCAAGAAGAGAACAGCCCCAGGAACGTCGCTGCCCCCCTCCCCGCCCCCATTAACAAGCTGCTTCTGTTCCCAGGGTCATGAAAAGTGTGCCTTGTTGCTCCTGGGGGAAACCCAAGACCTTGGCCTTATCAATGCAACTAACAGTGCTCTGCAGATGTGAGTATCAGCGCAGCTAGCACCCAGGTGCAGGGGCCTGCCCGTGGGCCACACATGCAATGAGTTCTCATGGCTCTCAGCCTTCCCTGTTCCTCCTGCTGGAGAAGCCCTTTCTCTCCCAGCTGAGCTAAGTGCCCTGGTAGAAGCCACCTGCACCGAGGCCTCAACGTTTGGGGGCAGCTGGGGCTGGCTAAGCTGATTGGGGAGATGGGCGGGAGGCTGCAGAGTGGCTCATGGGCCAGGGGGGCTGACTTGCCCTGCCGCACACAGGCCTCTCCACATCGCAGCGCGGAATGGACTGGCCTCCGTCGTCCAGGCCCTGCTCAGCCGCGGTGCAACAGTGCTGGCGGTGGATGAAGAAGGTGTGTGGTCCTGGCTGGGGGGCAGGGGGGTCGGGGGGATCTACCAGAGCGTGACTGGTGCTCATGGACCTCCTGCAGCACTGGTGTCGCGTCCTCATGCTGCACCTGGGCCATGTCGTGCCCGGTGTGTGGGACGCTTGTCTTCCCTTGCTTGTGCATGGTGGGTCCTGGGGGGCCCTGCCCAGGGCTGGGAGCTGTGTGAGCACTGGGCACTCACTGCCTCTGGCCCAGCAGGAAAAGCAGTGACTTGGTGCAGTTTTTTGGGGTGGGGCAGAGGTTGTGAATACAGCTGTGTGCACGTCCTTGTGTGCATGTTTCATAGTTTCATACTTGGTAGGGTCAGAAGGGACTTGAGCAGATCATCAAGTCCGACCCCCTGCCACATGCGTGTGTATGAACATGCCTGTGTGTGTGTGCATATCTATGCGTGTCTATGTGTGCATGAATGTGTGTGTGTGTGTGTGTGTGCGTGTGTGTGTGTGCGCGCGCGCGCACACCTCCATGTATGCTCACGTGTGTGCGCGCCTGGGGGCCTGTGGGCAGGCACGTGCAAGCATGCGCAGTGGAGCTCCCCTCCACGGCCTGACAGGTGCCCGCTCCTCGCCCCCGCAGGTCACACCCCGGCGCTGGCCTGCGCCCCCAACAAGGACGTGGCGGATTGCCTGGCACTGATCCTCTCCACCATGAAGCCTTTCCCCCCGAAAGACGCCATCAGCCCCTTCAGCTTCAACCTCCTTAAGAACTGCAGCATCGCGGCCAAGACAGCGGCCTGCGGCGCCCTGCCCAACGGCGCCTCCTGCCCCTACGCCAAGGACCGGCATGGTGCCATCGGCCTGGACGGCTGCTACTCGGAGTAGCGCGCCCCACGGTGACCCCCTCTCTTCTCCTATTTATTTAGAGCCTCTCTGCGTCTAGGGCACTTTGAAGGAGAACAAGCCTGGGCCAGGCCCCACCCTGCAGCCACCCGGGGCTCCCTGCTTCCGCTGTGCACCCCCCTCGCCCATCGGCAGCCGCCTGGCTCTGTCCCCCGCCCTCGTGCCCCCGCCTGTTCTAACGGCTTCTCTTGGCAGGGTGGCACGAGCGCGGTCGGTGCCAGCCAGGCCCCCCCACCCACGTGCAGGGCCCTGCTTGCCCTCACGGGGAGCCATTCGCCTTAAACGTCACTTGATTTGTGGACCACAAAAAACTTCTCCTCCGCCCTGGGGCTGCTGTGCCAACCCCCACGGCTGCCCCACAGCGGAAGCTCGGACCCCCGAGGGGGGATTGGGAAGGGGAGTGGGGGGATTGCTGACAAACAAGGGACCGTGGCGGCAGGCACCAGTCAGTGCTGCTGCCCCCGCACGTGTTGCCATCATGCCCGTCCCCACCGCCCCCTGCTGACACTTGAATTGGAACTACTGTACCTGGGCTGCGCGCCTGCCCCCCCTGTGGCTGGCACCCCCTGCACGCCCGGATGCAACATGGGCGCCGTGGTCCATGCCCACATGTGCTGCTGGAGCTGCCTTCCTCGTGCAGGCACTTTAGGGTCCCCCTCGCCTCTTTCCCCCCCTTCCCACCTTCTAGGCCCCGGGACACAAGGCCCCAGCCCCCCCCCAATGCTGCGTGGCTGCCCCCCACTTTCCCCCGGCAGCATTGCTTTTCCTTTATCGAGAATTTGCCTGAACACAAGCAAAAAAAAAAAACCCCTCAAGGAGGTGAATTTTCTGGAAGTCGAGACCTAGTTGGGGTCCCTGCTGCAGCCCAGGGCATGTGGGGAGAGGGCCGTGGCATAGCTGACAGGACATGTGAGGGCTGCTGGGGGGTTTGTTTCCGAGTTACTGTAAAGGCATCGCGGGTAGAAACCGAGGCCGCCCCCTGCCTCCACCAGCCTGCTCCAAGCCAAAGACCTGGACGTAGCGATCAGAGCAGGCTGCTGGGGGGGCATCCGATGCCCCCATCCTCCCCCTCCACCCTCCTTGCTTTGGCAGCTGTTGGGGAGCGCGGGGAAGGGGCTGGGGAGCTTGAGCAAAGCAAAGGGCTGGGTGTGGAGGGAGGGGGCATCTCTTTTGCCAAATGACCGCGGCCCCGTGTGCAGCTGGTGCCCCTCTGTGTGCGGCCAGTGACGCCCCCGCCCTGTCCTGGGGTCACCCCGCCAGTCAGACTAGGGCCGTCCCATGTCTTGTCCTCTGAGGCTGAGGCTCATGTGGTCTGGGGGCCAGGGCATTGTCCCTTCCCCTCTCCCCCCTGCTGCCCGGGGGGCTGGGGCTCCTATTGCACTGTTTCTTTCTGTTAACCAAAGCCAAACTCTTCAAACCAAATACGACGTTCCCATCTTGGCCTCATCCTTCCATCCCACTGCGGTCGGACCCCAGGGGTGGGAGACATGGGCGTTGGGGGGCACGACCTGCTTGTCTCTCTTTCTTCTTCTTTCTACCCCCCCCCCCCCAGAGTACTTTGGGGCTCCGGCTCCCAGCAAAGCACTTCAGGAACTGACCCGTGGCGCTTAGGAGCAGGCAAGAGGCCCCATGGCCCAGCTGGCCTGTATCCCTCGAGGCACTTCCACAAAACCCCCGTGTGGGTGGCGGGTGCCCTGGGGAGAGGTCTCCTCTCCAGCTGCGGATGTCAGTCTCCCCACACCAGGCATCTAAGACCCAGCCTTGGCCTCCCCCGTCCCCGTGACAGGGCTCCGGGGAACCGCTTGCCCAGTTCCCAGCCAGTGTTACCTCCCTGCAGCGAATACCTCACCATGGCCCTGTGCCAGACTTGAAGCCCCCCTTTCCCTCCCGTCTCCAGCCCCGGCCGTTCAGTATTGCCCCGAGGGAGATGGCGAACCTGGACCCGCTTGTTTACATGGCTGCCATGTGTGGCCGCGCTGCACTTGGGGCACCGCCTGCCCCTTCCCCACTGCCTGGGGCATGGAGAGGGGATGGGAGCTGTCTCGCATCTCCCCAGGGACCCCACGGCCCCCAGGGTGCTGCCTGGCTCGGGGAAGCTGGTCTCCCTTGGGCTCCACCTCTTCCCAGTGGCACCAGGGCGCAGGGACTAGCAGGGCAAGCGCCTAGCGCTGTCAGCACTGACCCAGCGCCTGCAAGGGGAGGGGTCCCCGTGGGCACGCACGTGGCAGGAGCAGGCATGCACACGCGTGCACATCAATTTATCCTGCGACTTAGGATGTTAATTACACCCCCCCATTGCTACCACAGTTGGGGGGGCAGTCCTAGAACCATTTCAACGATGAGCAGGTGCCCCCACTGTGTCCTCACATCCCCTGTCCTTCCCTGCGCTGCCCCCCAACCCCGCTCCCGCCTGACGCCGAGACAATCAGCGCGATCTCTCTAAGGGCTTCAGCATTTCCCCCTCTGCGGCGTCGCTTCTTCCTGCTCACGGCCAGTTCCCCCCCCACCCGTGCCTCTTTCTTTTCATTTTAAATAATAATGGTGATGATGATAATAATAGGGGAGCGGCACCACACTTCAGCAGCACATTCGTGGCCCTGGGGGGTGGGGAAAGGGGCCCAGTCTTGTTCTCCTGTAGCGCTGTAGCATTCCCCCTCCACTTTGTTGGCACCACTTGGCCATTTCGGTAACGACCCGCGTGTTCGGTAACGACGCGTTCTTTCGCGACACGAGACTTGCGCTGGTTTCCCGGGCGTGTCGCGATGAGGGCTGAAGGGAAACCCCTGCCCCCCCCCG